CTAGGGGCCCCCCAGGGGACCTTGGGGGCCCCTTGGGGCCCCCAGCGCCGCCGCCTTGTTGGGGGAGAAGGGGATCGTCTTCTGGGATCCGATCCCAGGGTTTCTTTTGTCTTCTTGGAGTGTCTATTTGTTTATTTTGAAAAGTTTAAGGGGTTTGTTTGAAGGTTTGTTTTTATATGTTTTTCTGTGGGGCCCCACAGCAGAGCCGAACACAGTCGGCAGCAGCTGTACAGCAGGCTGCTTACTTCATTGTCTTTCTTTTGCAGTTGTTTGTTTATTTTGAATTATAACAATAAATTAAGACAGAGAGGCCTTTATACTCAGCACAAAACAGTGTTGCTGGGGCCTCATCTCCTGAAGCTACGCTCTTCGATGTACAGGGGGGCCCCCTGCATACTCGCTGCTATTAGCTGTTAGTTGCTGCTGCTGCTGCAGCAGCAATCCATTTGCTGCGATGCTTCGCTCGTCTCTCCATCGGTCTCATTATATTTACAGGGGAGCAGCGAGTGCTGTCTCCTTTCCTCGCCCGCGTCGTCTGCTGACAACTGCTGCTGCAGCAGCAGCAGCAGCAGAGGCAGCAGCAGCAACAACAAACACAGCAGCAGCACAACCAGAGGAAGCAGCAGCAGCAGCAGCAGCAACTGCTTCTAACTCCGCTGTCTCGCCTTCATGTGGCTCTGATGCTTCTCTTGATTCATCTGCTGCAGCACAGGGGGGCCCCCCGGGGCCCCTACGCGTGGGTGTGCTGATTGTAGGGGGAGGCCTTACTGGGCTTAGCGCAGCACATGCGCTGCAGCGTCTGCTGCAGCAGCAGCAGCAGCAGCAACATTCTGAGGGATTGCGGTTTCTTGCTGCTCCCCGTCTCCAGGACCATGTGTTGCATCAGATGTATGGTGGTTCTGCTGCTGCTGCTGCTGCTGCTGCTGCTGCTGCGGAGCAGCCATTTTGTATCATTGAAGCTGCTGATGAGCCTGGGGGCTGCTTAAAGAGCCGTCGCTCTGCATGCAAGGAGTTTGTATATGAGTGTGGGGCGAACAGCTTTAGGCTGACACCGGAGACAATGCTGCTGCTGCAGCAGCTGCAGCTGGAGTCTAGTTTGCTGCTGGCTCCTCGGGGGGCCCCACGCTTTGCTGCTGGGAGACACGGGCTGCTGCAGATGCCTTCATCTGTTTTATCGTTTCTTACGACCGATCTTCTCTCTTTCTCTTCTAAACTACAACTCCTAAAGGGCCTTCTCTTAGGGGCGAAACCTTGGCTACCTTCAAAGAAGCCCCAGCAGCCCCAGCAGCAGCAGCAGCAGCAGCAGCAGCAGCAGCAGCAGCTAGGGGATCCTTCTGTGGAGGAGTATATATCGAAAGTATTGGGCCCAGAAGCAGCGCTACAGCTAGCGGGGTGTATGACTGTAGGAATATATGCAGCAGCACCTGCTGCTGTTTCTATTGGCTCGGGGTTCCCCGCCCTAAAGGCTTTCTTAGACAAAGGCCTCATAAGAACATTCTTCTATAATACTTTAAACAAAATAATAATGCCCTACAGCACAAGAAGGAACCATAATAAAGATGTATATAGTGCAGCACCAACCCCCGCATCAGCAGCAGCAGCAACAGCAGCAGCAGCAGCAACAGCAGCAGGAAGCAGAAGGGAGGAGGAGACAACAAGGTGGGCACCTGCTGGAGGTCGGGGGGCAGGAACCATAATAAAGATGTATATAGTGCAGCACCAACCCCCGCATCAGCAGCAGCAGCAGCAGCAACAGCAGCAGCAGCAGGTGCAGCAGCAGGAAGCAGAAGGGAGGAGGAGACAACAAGGTGGGCACCTGCTGGAGGTCGGGGGGCCCCTCTTGTTGCTTCTCTTAAAGGGGGCCTCCAATCTCTTGCATGGGGCCTCTATTCGCAGCTGCCGTCCAGCACTTTGCTGCTGCAGCACAAACTTCTTCGGCTGCAGCCCCTCTCTTCTATGCAAAAGGAGACGCCTGGATATCTCGCAACTGTCTCCTCACCTCGAGGACAAACACAAATCTTTGCAAACCATGTCTTACTCACAATACACCCGAAGCAACTAGCACTAGTTCTAGGCCCAACGAAAGGCTCCCAGGGGGCCCCCACGGAGGCTCTCCAAGGGGGCCCCCAAGGGGCCCCCACAGAGGCCCTCCAAGAGGTTTCCAAGGGGGGCCCCCAAGGGGCCCCTCATGGGTCCTTTCAAAAGGGCCCCCAAGGGGCCCCTCATGGGTCCTTTCAAAAGGGCCCCCAAGGGGCCCTAAACGGGGACCCCCGAGGGGGCCCTCAAGGGGCCTCCATAGAGGTCCCCCATGGGTCCCTTCAAAAGGGCCTCCAGGGCCCCCCCCAAGGGACCCTCCAGGGGGCCCCCCAAGGGGCCCTCAAGGGGGCCCCCATCCCCGTGTGTGGAGGACAGAGTAAGTGCGGGGGCCCCCTTGTTAGTATTGGGAAGGAGGCTTCTATTCTGAGTGCTGCTGCAGTGCAGCAGCTGCAGTCTCTTCAAT